AAAATTCTAGAAAGTCCTAAACACAAAAAATATTACAAAGGTACCCCTAAAAAGATAAAAAGAAACCGAGCCCATAAAAGGGGGCATACCTGCATAGGACCCCTCAAAAAAGCTGCGTCTAATCGAAAAAAGAAAAATCAAACAAAGGCTTCCAAAGTCCCCCCTTCCTACCATAAAACGCAGATCCTAAGACGAATCTTCAAAACTTACTCCAACCGGTCAGGCTTGGCAGCCACTGCGACCATATACCCCCAAATTTTCGCGAAAAACTGGTTAAGGCAACATCAAACAAATCATCCGGATACCCCCTGGTCGATAATTCGTACTTCAAAGCCAACAAAAATTGCAATTCCATACCCTCAATCGAGGTATAATTCCTAGCCCTATGCAAGAAAGACCCAATGACGGCCATCTTCTGCTGCCTACTGGAAAAGGACCCATAATCCTGAATGCATTGAAAAACGAAATCACTACCAATAGCCTCCTTTTGGTTCTTCAAAATAGGGCAGCAGATAACCCCAACGTTGCCTGATCCAATTCTCAAATCACAACCAAGATAACTCCATGAACAGCCAACACTGGTACGTTCCAAAACCAAGTTGCTATCATAGCATCGTGCGAACCTCTTAATGATCCCCTCACATTTGCCCAGAGAGCCCTCCTCCTTTGCGTTACATTGTACAAAAACCGAAGCATCATCAATTAGTCTAAAACCAAAAAAAAAATTGCGATCGGCTCCCAGAGTCGAAAGAAAACAAAATTCGTTATAAGCACATAGCAAACATGCTAAAGCCGGACTAGTAGATTTGCCCATAGGTATTCCAACAGTTTGACGCAACAGAATCCCAGCCGCAGAAATAAACGTATGTTGCAACTCGAAAGTGACGAAGTTCATAATCTCTTGGAAATCAATCAGCTTCCACCCACTCTCAATTTTTCCTTTGGCCAACTTGGCGCCTTTCCCCAGCTTCTTCACCGCAACACCTTTTACTTCCATTCTTTCCCAAAAATCAATAGCCCAGTCCAAAGCTTCTAAAATCGACCCATGGGGAAGATTGGATAACATCTCATCGAAGGATGCTCCAATCAACCTTTCATTTTCACGAATCCCTGTGTTAACACCCTTAATTGCCTTAACCAAATCATCAACACAACGCAAATTCAAATTACTTCCTGCCAGGAGACTCCACAACATGCAATTCACCGCTCGCGACACGATCTTACCACCTCTTGTTGAGCATTCGGGATACGAAGGGCAGATTGGTCTCCAGCGACCAACATCTTTATGCTTAGGGATACACTACGCCTTCCCCAAAGATCCTCGAACATCCCATCTACCCACATTATCCAATCTCAAAGCCGCATAGTTATCACAAGATCTCTGCAAAAGCACCAGATCCTCGTCTTGACAATGTTCAAAAGCAGAATTGGACATGAAAAGTTTCTGCATACCCTTCTCATAAACGTTGGGACAACAAACCAGAGTATCACCCCCATTATGTTCAATCGGGGAGCAGACTAATCCTTGCAAGCGCAGGCGAAAAGAAACAACCTCTGTCTCTGAAAACGCACCAAGCCCATCGCCATCCTCGATCGAAACTCCTCTGATCAAACACTCTTCCAACACGTCCCGACTCATGATTGCTTGGTCCAAATCAGGTAACAAACTAGCAGAGAAAGCACTACGAATCTTCCGCCGCAGGGAACCAACTAAATCAGATCTATTCGGTCGTGTAATATTTCGTGAATTTTTAATCAGATTAGGCGTCAAAACTAAATTGTTCATGCGGAAAACCACATGTCCTTCATGCCGTGGAAAAACATCATCAACATTCAAGCAAGTGCAAGCAAAAGACGACTCTCGTGAATATTGACGAAAATTGTGTATTAAGCTCCCTACTGGCTTATTGCGCGTCCAAACAACTCTCATTCGCTGAACTAACATAGCCTTCCATGCAAAGCCGATGTGTAGACTCGACAATAACCGTGCACAAAGCAGACGAACCTTGGATTTACAGATCGAAACATCATAACGGATACGAATAACAACCCGCTTCCTCACCGAGATGCCAAATCGTTTGGAGATACAAGCAGACAAAATACAACGAAGGCGAAACCTAGTCCGCTTCTCAGAAATGTCCTAATAGCACTATAGGCGTAGACCAGGGTAACCAAATCCCATTGAAGCAGAGTCTTACGAGTGGCTGGTTGACTCAGAAATTTGACGAGAGGTTCTTTGAAAACTAAAGACTTACACAGAAAAGGGATAATTCGTTCAATTTCGAAAGAGATACCCCCCTTCAGCCAGACTCTGACATATCTAAGTTCCATACGTCCAAACCCACTCGACACTAAACTTCCTCCATACATTCTCCTCACAACCTTCCATCTCCCCGTCAATAATTCACCCCCAGTGCAGTCAACTCGAACTCGATAAATATTCCTCCATTTGCACTCGTCCAAAAGAAAGAGCAAACTTCTTGAAGATAAACCAAAACAAGTAGAAAATTCAACCAATTCGTCAGGCTTACTAACTTTACACTCCCTGTCTTCCTCATGACGCCCATTCTTTTTGTTCCTCCTTAGTCTCTCCCTTCTCCCCAAACGAGGCTTCCTACTACGTTTGGGTTTATCCCTACTGTTGAGTGCATGACACATCCGACGTATAAAGAATTTCTCAATTTCCAAGACATCGGACTCAGAGCATCGATGTATAGGAATAACAACATAATCACTTGCTCCTCTTCGTCGCAACCATCGGTACAACCTCTCGTTTCTCCTCTCCTTCCCTCCCAAACTCCCACAAGTCCCACGATAGACATGCTCTGCCCAACGAGTGTGCAGGTCCCTTGTAGTACTCCCAACGTACAAGTGTTTACACCAGGGCGAAAACAACACATAAACTAAAGGTCCATCCCAATCACCCTTCGAACTTTCTTCACTGGAAAGATAACGCGAAACAAAGGGAATGAAACACTTGCCCCATGGTATACAATCAGAAATAAGCAAGAGACAAATAGTCAAACATAACAGTCGACTGAGCAATCTACTCCTCAACAACTCAGAAGAAAAGGATCTAGCATTAGTCAACCTTCGCAGATGAGACCACAACCAAGTTGCGTCCGGGAGAGAAGCTAGGAAGCAGCGGTGTCAACAGCAGCCTCCACATCATTATCCTCAGTCTCTCCGGCCGTAACTTCAACAACTGTATCATCCTTACCTTTCCCCTTGGTCAAATTGTCCACTCCAAACATATGCTGCACTCTTTGGTAAATTATCTCTTCTTTGGTTGGTTCCAGGGTCGTGTACAAAATACCTTCATCCCGACAGATCTTTTGAATTTCCAACTTGTTTTTCTTCCGTAAATTCTTCCTCTCCTCTTGAACAAAAGCCTCGCGGTCATTAAGTTGCATCCCAGGGGTAAGATTCCCCTTCTTCTTCAATGGTGGGCACGGTGGTTTGTACGTAGATGGTCCAGCCGCCTCGTCCAGACGACTCTTGAGATTAGTACCCTTCTGCCTCTTCTCCATTTCCAAACGCGCCATTGCCTCCTTCAGGCGTTCAACCTCCTTTTCCGCCTCGATACGCCCGTCAACATCCTTCAAGCACAACTCTTTCAAAGCGTTGATTTCCATCTGATGTCTCTCCACGATCCCCTTGATAACGGGATCGGCCTTTTCCTCGGTTCTCGCCATGCCTGCACTGGCACTGGCAGTTCGCACCACCGATACACTTCTTGGTCGAACCCTCGCCTGCGTCGCTTGAGTACAGACAACAATATTGCCCCGCTTATTACCAGGTCGATGAGCCTCAGCCTTCCACAATTCAGCATTAGCCTCGGCCTCCTCCTTTCCCTTGATCAGCGCAGCGATTTTTTCCTCCATCATGGCGAATCTCCTATCAACGACAACCCTAGCTTCCTCCTGCTCACGTTTCAGCTTATTTACAGCGTCAACATCAGTGGTAGGTTTGACCGTGGCCTCTGTCGATGAGACTTCATTCTTTCCCCGAGACAACCTTCCAACTTCTTCTTGTAGCTTAGCAAGTTCATTTGCCCCCTGATCACGTTTATCGATCTTCTCACAAACCTTATCCCATTGTTTACTCAACTCTAGACTCATCCTGGTATACTGTTCCTCACTCTCCTTCTTGTCACGTAGTCTTCTTTCTCCTTCTTTTGTCTCTCTCTTCTTTCGTTCAGCCTCTTCCTTAGCAGCAACTTCTTTAGCCTCATCAGCATCATGCCTGACCTTGATACGCCCTACAATATCCTCAAGCGTAGCTACTCGGTTGCGCAGCCAAGTCTTGTCATTCGAGTAATTGTTAGAAAAGGTCGGCGCAACAATTCCTACGCCAATCGTGTTGCTTGGTCCAGTCATCAACGGTTGAGCTGGAACAATGGCCATACTCGTGCTGGCCTGTCCTCCATTCAACCGCTTGTCCGACAGTGGACAAAATCTGGAGATGTGCCCTTGTTGTCCACAGTTATAGCAGCTCCTGTTGTCAATATATCGTCCGTTCGCTTGAGTCGCCATCTAGAGTATTGAAGCCACCTCAAACGTAGTACAACTTCTACGCTGGTTACCTCGTGCGTGAAAGTCGGCAAATGCAGCAATCACGAAAAAGAGCAGACGAGACGACGTACTGACATGGAGTACCAAACCACAAGAACTTTAGGGAAGAGAGGGAAGAAGAGTAGGAGGAAGAAAGTCAAACACAGATAGAGTCTGCTGGCATCCCGAACGCAACTTCTTCATAAAGAATAGGCTTGAAGATCGTAGCGACGAATCGCTCGGCGTTTGACCCGACCGGTTTCGCGTGGCCGCCAAACCACGCTCATCAGGGGTCTTTGGAAGTGACGAGCCGAYGCTCGCAAACTTCTTATCTGTGTTCGGCCGAAGAAAACGCCAAAAGGTWACTCGGTCYATCAAAAATTCTAGAAAGTCCTAAACACAAAAAATATTACAAAGGTACCCCTAAAAAGATAAAAAGAAACCGAGCCCATAAAAGGGGGCATACCTGCATCGGACCCCTCAAAAAAGCTGACGAGCCAAAGCATTTTCTTCTTCTTCTTCTTCTTCTTCTTCTTCTTCTTCTTCTTTTTTTTTTTTTTTTTTGAGACGATGCTCCAAATCTATTCGTGGGGAGCAACACGGCTCGGAACCGGGCCCAGTGTCCCTTAACCTGGATTCGGCAGATTGTCGAGGGTTTAGCCTCCTGACGAGTCAGTGCAACTCCGACGAAACAATCTTTTATCATCGGAATTTTTTTTTTTTCGGTCGCTCTTTTCTTTGGGACTTGTATTTTTCTTGCCTGGTGTTGTTTTGCCAGCTACTTTCTGGTGTGTTGCCATTAAATTTCATTCGCTGCCTTGTGCCGTTTGTCTTTGTCTGACCACCCGGCGCCTCGCTAGTGCCTTCCAGCACATGTCCCTTGCTTCACTGTCTTTTGTGCCTCGCTGCCTTGTCTCATTTGTCTGTCTTTCAGTCTTGTACTTTTTACGTTTTGTCTTTTGTATTGACAGTGGACCTTTTTTCTTTTTCCCCCTTTATTGACAGTTGACCTGCAATGCTACTTTCAGAACTCTCTGTTGACTTGACTCGTTCCCAAAGCGTGCTTTCCATCAGTGGACTTTTCCCCCCCCTTTATTGACAGTGGACTTTTGCGGCGTTACCGTGCATCGTCTTTTACTCTGCTGAGGACCTGAGGTTGATTTATATGACATTGTGTGTTTCACACACACACAGTAAAGTCGACCACAGTGACTTTTCTGTCTCAGGGATGGGCATCGCTAACTCTGGGCGATGTGGTGAGTCCTTATCCATGATCAGTCAAATGCATCCTGGGCAGACTGTCGGGGTTCAACCTCCTGATGAGTCGGTGAAAGTCCGAGGAAACAGTTCTGGTACAGTCATGCTGTTTTTGAGTGTATAGTGAATATGACAACACACACACACACACACACACACATGCATGCACAACACAAATAACATGTGCGCAGACAAGTTCACGTGAAATAAAAACG